CAATTCCCCATTTTTCAGGAAGGGAAATGCTCGTTCTTTTTAATAGCCAACCATGATGCAAGTCGGTAGTTTAGACACACAGCTCTATAGCTAAATATTAAGTCTTCTAAGGAAGTTGAAGAACCGACTGCAATCGAATTAACTTTTCATCCAAAAGGCTTAACACCAATCTGTTAGTAACGAACTTGTAAGTTACGAATTCACTGTCATTTTTGCTAAGGAGTCGAAACCACTAGACGCAGCTTAGGTGATGTTCGTCAGAAAATGTCAGATCAACAGATGAGATGAACTGTGAACTATATCAGGTAAATTCAGTGGTGCAATAAAGAACGACTCATATGGTGGCAGATCTTAACAATGGATGAGGACTGGGCTGATTAGCACCTTCGTCCAGATTTTTGAAGCTATTACATCCTGTACTAAAATAGCTTACCATCAAGCGCCTACTTTTATTGACCCAACATTTTGCTTAATTTGAGAGAAACGTACCACCCTTCTGACCAGAGTCACACCGAATTAAAACTAGTATAGTGATTTGTTCTTTACATTTCACCCGACAGACCAGGAGTTCATATGCCCCACTACCAAGCAACATCTTCACTTGAAGTCATATGAGCACACTGTTCTGCATCTAGAGGATTATACCACTATGAATTGCAATTCCTTCAGTCCCATCTTTCACTACCATTAGTCTCAGATACAACCATATTTCTGAGAGATTGATACTGCTGAAGGCCTTTCGGATCTGTTATATTATCGAATTTAGCCTGACTTATACTCCATTCTCATCTAACTTCGAATTGTGATTACATGGAATCTTTAGGACTACATACTTTATTTAAATAGACATGAATCTGATTGGATCACAAAGAGCAGTCTTTTGACTCAATCTACAAGACAGTTTTCACATTATGTCAAGTGGAGAAACATTTCTTTCTATTAGAAGAGTTACACGTTCATAGTATACACAAATCTTAAGACAATTAGTCGGTAAATATAATCAAAATAAAGAGTGGAATCGAAGATTATGTAGAGAAATCAGACAATAAATATACCAGTGGTTCACATAATTTCTACTTTACTTGTTTTTGGAGATGGAAGAAACATGCAATTATTTTGATTTACGCACAAACAATGAGTAATAAGTACTAGTAGGTCAGGTGAGCTAACAATTTTAAGCTTTGAACAGAATCATTACTCTATAATTTTTACATTGATAGGGAGAAATTATAATGACTCAATGTGGCAGTTGATTGTTTTGTATAAAGTTTCTAAATTGAAATATCTAACTCGATTATTGAAGGCGTTGAAATGAAATCGCGTCATTATTAAGTGAGACATTCAGGATTAAAGTTAAAATGCTATTCAGAATGGAAATCCTATAAATTTAGTTGATCCATATTTCTTCTTTGAAAATATATTGATATCACGCACATTGGTAAATGCAAGTAACTAATCTTCTGATCATCAGCGTGCGATGTGAAGCCAGACTGTTAATGTGAACGCAAAACTGACTCATTATTGGTTAGTGTAATAAAATCGCCAGTTGAAGCAAGCCTTTAGGTTATACGATTATTAGATACAATACTCGGAGATTCAAGTGGAAATTGAACAAATTAGCAGTCAAATCCAGTCGTTACTTTGATAATGAAACATGCAGTCACATCCTAGGGAGTAAGGATGAAAACCCGGATACCGGATGAACATCGATTGACATTCTTAAATAGCCCAGGAGTCGATTAACCTGATGTTTAGAAGTCTAATTCTAGACTTCAAGGTATTTAGGAGTCTAATGACACGCTATTTATCCTTAACTAAATTGAACAGACCTGGTTATATGCATTATATACACTTTACACGGTAGTATTAATTTACGCTCATACGTACACACATGAGTAAATACTTCATATGGTTACGTCCTAATGTGTGTAGTTCTTTTTAAACACATTTAAAATAGGTGCAAACACTAATAACGCCAACCAACAAACAAAACAACTTGCTTTCAGACTAAAAGTGACCTGATTTTTTTTACTTGTTTGTATAACGCTATCGATCCGTTTCCATGCTAAATATGTGGCCGCAACGATCCATACGAAAAGTATGACAGCATTAATCCGAAGCTACCTTTCCAGAATTAAAACAAGAAATACTATTTCATTAGAATAGGAACCAGTCCCAGACTACCGCATCCTTAATGTTTGCGGGATGAAAGTCGATCACCTGGAGACTTATTTACTATTACTGTAGATACGTTTCTACAATCTGACAACCGCCAATAACAGATGAGTCGTTGTTTAAAGAAACTAAGCGGGAGTAATAAAGTGCATGATATAATTAATTCACTGCATCCTCTCATGGTTGCACAAAAGTCATTTAATATTAACATAATTTAGCAGTGAAAACTAGCTAATCTATTCAGAGTGAGAAGTTCTCTCGAAGAGATGACTATCCACGCAGTTCAACAGATTAAGTCAGTTGAAAAAAACAATGTACCACTTTATAAGAATATGTGTTCGTTTGAATAGCTTTTAAACTTAATTAGCCGTTTAACACTTGTAAGTGGGAAACTTAAGTTAGCAAACAATATGTCCCGAGCACTGCATATACAGTGACCAGAGACAAACTACTCAATAGTCGTCACATGTAAACAAAGTGTCATCCATTCCCTCAAAAGTGGACTGCAAGAAAATTACGTTGGTGTTAACAAACAATAACTTGCAAACAAATAGAAATTTCGTCTGAGTTAGATTTCGATCCTGCTTATTAGGTTTGCAATATTTTTCTCTCAAATAGATCGGTAACTGCCAACGGAGAAACACATTGATTATGTTCTAATCTACTTAGATGATCAAGATGTATTGGTCAGATAAGGTTGATTGATACAGTGGTGTTTATAAAAAAGCGATAGCTGCCACTGTTGACAGAGACAACCAAGATGGAATCAGCAGTCACACGAAAATAATTGTCATTTCAAGAAATTACACTTAGTTCAGGAGACACTGTCTACACAAGATAGCTTGATCAAGATCATTCGAGAGCGTTTACAATTATTGGCAAAGTACTACTGTGCAATCTAATTAGGCTGCCTTGTCTTTCTTAACCCATCAGTGACGACCAACTAACCTGTTAACCAAACTGAAGTGTGGAGACCTAAGATTCGTTAGCTGAAAGTCAAGCACTTTAATTAGTAAGTCACCACTAAGATTTCTGTTACCTAGGATTGCCCCACAGAGGGAAGCTGTGTTATTCAATCTATAAAACGTTTAGATGGTTTCTAGTTCTCTTGAGAGTATGACCATAAATTACCCGCTTGCACAGCATGTATATAAACGTGGACAGAATTACCTTGTTATGTATATCTCTAGTTCCCCACCGTTGTTGCTATCTTGACGTGGTGGTCGGGCTTGCCTATCGTGACGAAGCAACCAAGCCATACTGGCTGGAACAACCGTTCCTCAAGGTCCTACCATGTCAGACAGGTCGGTTGAAGAGCGGTAAGACTAAAAGCAACAAACCAAATGTCCGAAGACGAAGTTTTACTGCTGACTGTACAGAGGTGTGACAGCAATAAGGCGTTTCCTTCAGACAACCAGCATGACAGCGATACTGCCTTCCCACAAGGAGGGGTGGGGTTAGAAAAGGTCGACCCTGAAAATGTGCACCTCGCCTTATCCCACGGATATCCGTCTCCGGCGGTAAGGTCTCAACAAGTACGGAGCTAACGCAAAAATTACTCATAAAAAGGTTGTGTGTGACCGACCTCAAGCAGTTATCCCTTGCGCACTGCGTTCACGCTCTCAGGTCACTAAGACCACCTGTAATCCAATTTGCTTTTCAGGTACCTTCAAAAGAACCCTTCAATGGTGTAGGCAACCGGAAAGTGATAACCGCCCTCATAACTCTAACAGCACTCAAGACCACTGTATTCATAATCAACCTCCCTCTTCAATTCCTATTATTCCTCTCTAGTTGCTTTGTTACTGACCATACAAATAGATGAATCAGCATACAACCAACACTGACTAATTACATTTGGGCTACAAATAACGGAAATATTATTTGGCGTTCTAAACCACTAGTCAACCAAACAGTGGTATGGAATGGGGTTGTTTGTTGAGATATAGCAGACGTATCTCAAATCCCACCAAATACTTGATAACCCAGGTTTTCTGATTTGTGATGTTCAGGACAATGGATCACACTGGTTATAACAGTATATGTTCAAAATACATTGAGGCGATTCGAAGTACGGAAAAAGGTTAGGAACAAAAATATTCGTTTTATAACAAGTCCAAGTCGCTGGCTCTTTCCACAAGTAGTGTAACCCGGCTTTCTTGGTAGCAGTAGACTACATTGGCAAACAAATAAGGGTTAAAAAGTACGTTTCACAACAACGATAAGTAAAACACTCACTATATATCACACAAACAACAAGTAATGGCATTGTGAAATGAAACAGTATTCTAGTCAGTACACTCTTTTGAGCCAAAACCGACTCATTAGATGTAACTGGAGAAGTAATAATAATTAGTCTGAACCTGTGCCGCTACGTAAACCAAACAGAAATAAACAAGGCAACTTTCCGCTCCACTCTTGTGAATATACGAAGCATAACACATAGTAAGTAGGTGAGTCGCAATTGTTTTGCAGACCGGATAAACTTGGAACAGAATTTAGTTATAAACTGGCTTTGTATATTTTGTTACAATCAACAGGCATGAATGCTGGATAACAAAGTTAAAAAGCCGACTGATTATAATAATTTATTCTTAATAAATATAAGTTACATGAGACATGCCCTGTCTTAGTATCAAGACAAAAATAAATGGTAAGTATTTCCGTGGAATGGATTGTCTTGTTGGTAAACAAAAAGTATGATCGTTAAAGAAACAAGTAGTCAATAGAAGTAGCAATTTAAGGTCCTGAGGAAGAATTAGGAGGGGAATGTACGTTTTGGAGACCGGAAAATCAAGTTTAGACAATTCAGAGAACAGTGAGGATCAAATTAAATCACATTTCCTCCTCTTCTTCTTCGCTGAATTCAAGGCGGCTCGAGTAGCTGCTACAAAAACATCGCTGACACCTTCCTTGGTCTTAGCTAAAGAAAGCTAGACAATAAGTAAAGACAGTACCTGAACACTCATAGAAGGCATAAGCAGAAATCTTCTCAGCTACTTGTTTACCCTCATTAAAAGTGACGGGAAGTTGTTTGGTTCTATGTAGCTCATTCTTCGTAGCCTCATCATGTCGCAGGTCTTTTTTGTTACCAACTAAGATAATGGGGACATCAGGACAAAAATGCCGGATCTATAATAGGATTTATGAACTCGTGGTATCTACTTCTGGTAACCATTTCTCCTCAATGTTTGCAAAACTATCAGGAGAATCAATACTATAACACAACAGAACTACATCCGTATCAGGATAAGAAAGCGGCCGTAACCTATCATAATCTTCTTGGCCAGCAGTGTCCCAAAGAGCTAATTCAACCTGCCACATATAATAAGTACATATACACCTACTTGTCTGTTATCAACTTCGATATCTGCAACATAGTTTTCGAATACAGTAGGGACATAAACTTCGGGAAACTGGTCTTTGCTGAATACAATAAGTAAACAAGTTTTTCCACATGCACCATCTCCAACAATAACAAGTTTCTTGCGTACAGCACTCGCCATTGTTTCAGACTAAAACACCCGAACTGACCGCGAGTGCTCAATTTCGGTTTCAGTTTTGAGAGTGTGTGAGGCTGTATGTTTTGGAGTTGTATCACACCTGAACAGAGTGTTTGTTGTATAAGGAAGGTGAGTAGAATGAAGAAGTCCATCATTTCAGTGGATGAAAATCGCTTTTGAAAGACTTTACCAACCACACACTGACTTCATGGATTAAGGTTAATAGTATTCGTGTCAGTTATCTCTCGCTTCTATTGCGGTGCTACGCTACAGTTTTCTGTGAGTGGAAAGTGTTGTCTTCAAACTTTTGACGATATTTTTTAGTAATGCCATGCTAGTTATGCAGTTTTTGGCAACATGTACTTTGGTACAGTGACAATAGTTCAGTTGGTGTCACTATCTTAAAACACCGACTTTGGTGACTCGGATATATGTTACAAATATTGTGCTTGTGAATTCTTTATCACGTATTGTACGCTTACGCTGTAACTGTTTGAGAAAAATAGGGAGGTGAGTAGTTTGTGATATGTTTCTTGGGTTTGGGTGAATATTGTACTTGAATGGCTTCTGCCAGTCGATCACGATTACCCATTTTGGTGTCCTAGAATATGTGCAACACAGTGGCTTTGGAAATTATTGTACAGGACTCAGAACAAAGGACATTAGTAGTCCTACCCAAATCGTCTGTTACTTACTGAACAAAGGTTCGTGGGACCTTTTTGACTGACATGATTCTTCCCGCTTATATTTGTCTTGTTCGGATTGTTTATCCGATTATTTTTAAAACTCGCATTCACTTATTTTTATTCAATTGTCGTTTTATTAAGTTGTGTTCACATTCCTTCATCTATCTCTTCACAAATTCACTTCCGTATTGTTTGTCGCATGACTATGTTGGTATCAATTTATACTAGTGTTTATGTTTAAGTAAATAGATATCCAACAATCAATTGTCCCATTATACTGCTAATTATCACAAAATAATAATCGTTGTAGCAATCTTATTGGAATATTGTATTTCAATAATGTATTCATTGATTTGCTGCATTTACGTTATCCATTTATAGAATTGTGAGACGAATACAAATGCAGTAGTGCCATGAAAGACAATAAACACCCTATAAACGTTGCATTTTATATATAGATATGTAAGGAACTGACAGGAAGTCGGAGTTTGTTTTCCAATACACACATCCAATTTTTTCATACGTTAAATTACATAGTATTCGTGTCAGTTATCTCTCACGTCTATTACCGTGCTGCGTGTAGCAGTAAATATATCCCCAAAATCAATAGTCCTCGACATTTGATGCTGACCCCAACTGTGTCACAATGCAGGCCCTCTTTTGGAATCCTTAAGGCCAAAGGAGAATAGGAAGATCAAAGAGCACATTATGCCAAGAAATGGAGCCAGACATGTGGCGAATGAACAACAATTGCATAGAACTAGAAAGGAAGGCCCAGGACAGTGTGAGTTGGAGAATCCTAGTTGGCAGCCTATGCTCCAATGGGAGTAACAGACGTAAGGAAATATGTAGGTGACATTAGTTTTAATGGACTCACTTAGCTGAAGGAGCTTGGTTACGTATCCGCACCAGATCACGACTGTAAACGCTGTGCTCAACTTCTAATCCAACCGCTAGCCAGTATAGATCAGTCGCTTCTCGATATATTGATAACCTATCAAATATGTCTTTGAACCTCATCGCTCCTGACTTCTGATTTCACTGGGTAAGCACGATTCAACTACAGAAGGTTTCGCTGGCTAAAGTGTTGTCAAATTCCAAATACTTGTGACACGTCATTCGCGATCCTGAAGTGATCTGGTATACCAACTCGGGAACTGTGAGTCTGTTTTTTTATATATCATTTCTTTACTTTAATTTTTCATATTTTGTGATATTCTTTCGGATTTTTGAATATTCTTCCCTTCGTTCATTCCTGCACTTCATATTGCCCATGACAGAACAGACTACTAATGTAATTAGGTTCAAGATTATGACACCAACCATATCTCAGCTAACGTTTATTTGATCGGATAACATCGAAGCCTGGTTCTGCTAAGCTGAGGCTGACTTCTACGAGCTCGGCCTGGCCGACCCACGTGCACAATTCCTCTCAGTAGTAAAGTTACTACCGCGTGAATACACCAGTTACCTCACACCTAGTATCTAATTTTGGTCATCATTTCTCCTCAATGTTTGCAAAACTATCAGGAGAATCAATACTATAACACAACAGAACTACATCCGTATCAGGATAAGAAAGCGGCCGTAACCTATCATAATCTTCTTGGCCAGCAGTGTCCCAAAGAGCTAATTCAACCTGCCACATATAATAAGTACATATACACCTACTTGTCTGTTATCAACTTCGATATCTGCAACATAGTTTTCGAATACAGTAGGGACATAAACTTCGGGAAACTGGTCTTTGCTGAATACAATAAGTAAACAAGTTTTTCCACATGCACCATCTCCAACAATAACAAGTTTCTTGCGTACAGCACTCGCCATTGTTTCAGACTAAAACACCCGAACTGACCGCGAGTGCTCAATTCCGGTTTCCATGACAGTTGTAAGCTTCACTGTTAGTTGCCATTGCTACTCAATAGACTGCTGATCTTCCATCCGCTTTACTCGGTGTTTGCGAATAAACTGTTATTATTCGCAATGTAGTGAAAGCCGACACTGTATACATCACAGACCAACTCTTTTACGTAACATTCTCCGACTTGTAGATCCTCTATCTTCCGCATCGAATATAGACCTCAACTCCTATATGAGAAGGCTTACAAATACTATGAGGTCAGTCAAACCTGTTTCGGCTGGACTATGGTTAATTAGCTGCACTCGAAGAATCCTACGAGATTACTCATCACGAACCCATGTAACATACTACTTATAAGGTCAGGAATAACGATAGTATCAGTACTGACCGACTAAAGGTCGCTTACTTATAAGTAAACCCCTTCTATGTTCAGTTTCCCCCTGAACAATTGAGTGATATAAGCCTTGTGATTACGAAGCCTTCCATGATAATTAACGACCACAAAGAAACTTCGCTGACATCTAAAAAGCAGTTCTAAACGATGTACTCTGGAAGAATATTGTGGTTTCTAGAACATTTGGACGTTTACCGCACACGGAAACTACAAATTTTCGTTTTGCTCGCTTTACTTATATAACAATCTTTTTGTTTCATTCTCAGTATCTTTAAACTGCTAAGCTGAAATGAAATAAATTGTTCTGTTTACCAATATGATTTCATACGTAAGTATTTCAATAAAACATTCCATGTAAGAATTGTTCACTTTGTCACACAATTTATATGTACGGAACTATACGAAATCACTCCGGAGAGAAATTTTTCAATCAGACTCTTGAACTAGGTTATATTTTTACTAAAACATGGCCTTTCTGGGATTCTGTTCCACGTGGTTGAATAGCAAAGAGAGAAGAAAGCCCGACGTAAATTTGTATAGTTTCTCTCAGTCCACAGGATACTCCCCTTAATGCGTAGGTTGTGAGATGATATGATAGAGACGTAGTAGTGAATGTCTAAGAGTATGAAATACCATTTACGAGCCGATAGATAAAGACAAGTTTTGATTGAATGTGTCTGATCCTGAGAGGTGCTTACTTGAGTTGTTGATGTGTTTGATGATTGTCCTTATTGTCGGAGTATCCCAAGAGAGCTTCAGCGAACCTTCTTTGACCAGGTTCGATTTCTTATTAAATTATTATATCTGCAATTAATGTAAACTAGAATACCATATGAGAGTATGGGTATGATACAGTTGTATATAGTAACAGTAATCTAGATCCGCTTTGACTAGAGTTTACCATTACGAATCCCACCAGATTTTTTTGTTTTAGGCACTTGTGATGCAGTCCGCTCATAAAAGTTCAACGTGTTGTTGTACCTTGCACTCACGTAATGAACAATGTTGAGGATTTCAGTATATGATTAAGTAGAACCAGATTTAGGTTCGAGTTACCGTAAAACGCCACAAGTTATATTCATTTGTTTAAAGCAGCAAGATCCAGAGTGAACGATTTGGCTAAGTTCTTCTGACACAGATTTGAACCCAAATGGACACGCATCCCGTTTTTTCCTTAAACTCAAATTAATATTCCTCTAAATACTACAAGACCTGTTTAAATGTGGTGGATATTATGCGAGCATTATTGAAAGTTGTGTATAATTGTATTTTTGGAGAAACCCAAAATGGTTTCTTCACAATACTTCTGTATACATCATCTGTTTGTGAATGGTGATAATAGTTCCTTTGCTGAGTTGCACGTTAATAAGATACCATTAGGTTAGGTATTCGACACATTTAGGAAACAAGTATCAATTTCACTCTCGGGAATAATTTCTGTACTTGAATGAGTACTTTGTGGGTCAATAGTATCAAATTTTACCTGAGCATTCATCAGTCTTAAAATATGAGTTTCAATTGCGCTGTCTAACTATGAATACATTTATTTAAACTCATCAGTGACTGGCTTCAGAATGAATTCCCTGGACTTCTAGTGAAAAGCTGTGGCCAGTGGAGTTCAACCGTGTCTGCCATGAGGCAATTACTTGCTATAGACAATGGTGGACGGTTGTGCAGTATCTTGGATTGGTGGAAGTTAGACACTAGCACCATTTGATACCGGCTCAGCGGTCTGGAGGCTAAGCGTTCATGTGCGAGACCGAAGATCCTGGATTCGAGTGCAGGATTATGGATGCGCACTGCTGAGAAGCCCCGTACTAAGACGAGACGGCCGTCCAGTGCTTCCAGGTCTCCAGTGGTGGTCTTACATTGATCCTTTCACGATACCAATTTCAACCCAACAATCGCCACAGCCCTATACTGCAAATCCAAATAATTTAAAGGGTCTTTGTTAACATCAAACAAGAAAATGTTTTTTGATGAGTAAAATAATCAAATTTCTTAATCTACGTAGATTTAAAAAGCTATACACCAGAGTTCATGATAATTATCATAATAC